GGCCCGTAATCCTGAATCCTGATACATAAAGTTAGCCTATTAATTTAACACAGGTACGACTGTACTCAGTGTTGCACTATCAAATGCAATCGACGCGCCTCTATGCCAGGGTTTTTATGTTCCTGGTCAGGCTATAAAGTGTTTTGCTTGCTGATTCGTCTTCTGTACTTTCCTACTTCTATCTATTTTAATCAGATTGGATTGGATCCTATTATTATTTCAGTGACTTATTCTGTCTCATTTTCGCAGGTACCCGGTATCCTACAAGGAGTCTTTAAACACCGTGTTGATTCAAGAAGCTATTCGGTACAACAGATTGTTGTCGGTCATCAACAATTCTCTTAGGTAAGCATTTATCAAACCCCAATACGTTAGTTAATTCCACTTGAGAACAGAACTCGTGATCAGTAGGCCTAAGATGCGCGCCGTGATTACTTTTATCGACGTCAAAATGTATGGGCAAAATCGATAAAATGGCGTGATAACTGCTTATTGCGGCGCGCATCTTATAGACTAAGAGCTAGTGAACGCCAGACCTACGTCATTTTATAAAAGCTGAAAGTTTGTCAGCGTATGCTCTCAATAGGTATAGGATATAATGTTGGTGAATTATGAAGTTTGGGTCATGGTGGCTTTGGGAGCTACCCTAAAAAAACTGTCTGGCAAGGTGTTGGAACTGTCAAAACTGTCTGGCTGTTGGGGAAAATACTTCTAATTATTGCCCAAATATTATACATAAAATACAGATTTTATGGTATAACGTTAGTAGAATTACAGTCTATTGAATATACAGAAAAAGCCACCGTAAAAGTTAGACTTACGTTATACCATAAAATCAGTCAATCAGCTTTTATAAAATGACGTAGGTCTGGCGTTCACTAGCTCTTAGTCTATTAGGCCTACTGGCCAAGAAAGTTTCTTACAAGTCGTTTATACACCGTGTTACTTTGCATTCTTGCCATATTCACAGAGATAAAAGTAGGTAACAATACCTATTATTTAAGATAAACAAGAGACTCCCATAAAAAAAGTACATTAAAATTTTAGTAAATTTAGTTTNGGTTTTTGTGGCGGTCAAGCTGTAGATCCTGGCTACACAGGAGTTGCAGTGGTGGGAACGAGAGGTGGGAATAGTCCCGTAATGATAGAAGTAGAGCGAGTGTTTTTTTCCTACATTGTACGGAGAGCAATAGAATTTATGTATCTCCCAACGTACGTTTTCTCTGATATCTTTTTAATTTTTAGAGTGTTGTATTTGTAATATATCAGGAGGGCAGGGAGACGTAAATTAAAACAAACTGTGCAAACGCTAAGCAGTTTCACGTTATAATTTAAGCTCCCTTTGCATTTAACAATGAAATATTTAGCTTCACTATCGTCCTCTATTAAATTCTTTCGGTCCAGCCAAATGGCGTCCATTACTGGACAAAGGGCTCCACCAAGGATCTCCACAAAGACCGGTTCAGTGCTGCCCGCATCCAATTAAATTAACTCTTTAATTTAAAATCTTGATTTCATTTTGATTTTAGAGAAATAGTTGGTTAATGATATCATCTACCCCGTTTAATCCACACATTATTGTTCAGCAAGCGCCCTCTTCAAATATCGAGGCATACACGACATACATCCGAACGCTGCCGCTGAACGACGACCCGTCGCTGTTCGGACTCCACAGCAACGCCAACATTAGCTACGCCATGTCCGAGACAAATACGTGCCTTGGTAAGACTTGATATACAAAAGGTTTTGTATTAAATGCACAACAAGGAAGCTCTTGGCCTGCTTCTCACCTGATGAGAGTGGATGCGAGCTATACCTGGTTAGTGACTGGGCTACTAAGGGAATATACAAAAGTCGAAATACGTTATATGAACTTTATGGCATGAAAAAGTATAATAATAGTTTATCTTTTCTTGAGCATGTAAAAAAGTATTCAAAAATTTTTAAGAAAGTTTGCTTCATGGCTAAATCTTTTTATATTCGGGACAAGATAGGGAACGCCAGTAATAAAATAAAAGAAACTTGGAATGTTATCAACCGAGAGACTAGTAAACTAAAACCAAGAGATAATGACTTTTCTCTCAAAGTTCACGATAATTTGATATCTGCAGATAAAGATGTAGCGGAAGCTTTTGACAATTTTTTTGGGAATATAGCTTCAGCAACAACTGCCAACTTAAAGTCATCTCCCTCCGAGGCCGAAGAAATATTGAAAACCCACGTGACACCCTGTGACTCGCACTTCTCTTTTAAACATATTACTCCATTAGATATCACTAAAACTTTTAATCTTTTAAACGTAAAGAGTACAACTGATATCTGGGGCATCTCTGTCAAGATAGTCAAACACATTATTGATATAATTTCCCCACAGTTAGCGATAATATTCAATAATTGCATAGAGAAGGGAATCTTCCCCGACCTCATGAAACATAGTAGACTAATGCCATTATTTAAGTCTGGTAGCAAAACCGACCCTGGCAATTATAGACCCATTTCTATCTTGCCCGCTCTGAGCAAGATTTTTGAAAAAATCATACAGGAGCAACTTATGATTCACTTTGGCTCTAATAAACTATTTCATAGTGAACAATATGGTTTCACCAAGGGTCGTTCCACCACCGATGCAGGGGTTGCACTACTTAAACATATCTTCGAGGCTTGGGAGAATTCTCAAAATGCACTAGGGGTCTTCTGTGATCTCTCAAAAGCTTTTGACTGCGTAGAACATCAAACGCTAATTCGCAAACTGCACTATTATGGGGTAAAGGACTCGGCTTTGGATTTAATACAATCCTATTTAAACTTTAGAGTTCAAAAAGTTGACATAAATGGTGTTTTGTCTTCTGGGTCACCTGTGAAAATGGGAGTTCCGCAGGGGTCCATTCTGGGTCCATTCTTGTTTCTTATATACATTAATGATCTACCATATTTTGTTAAGGACTCTTGCGAAATCGTGTTATTTGCTGATGACACATCTTTGATTTTTAATATCGATAGAAGTAAAAATAACTTTGACGATGTAAATAATGCACTAACAAGAGTTTTAAGTTGGTTCACTACAAATAATTTACAACTCAATGCAAAGAAAACAAAATGTATAAAATTCTCTTTGCCTAACGTAAAAACAGTTAGTACACAAATAGAACTTAATAATAATGCAATCGATCTGGTAGACTCTACTGTATTTCTGGGAATTACCCTGGATTCAAAACTCCAGTGGGGCCCCCATATAGAAACTCTGGCGGGAAAGCTCAGCTCAGCGGCTTTTGCAATAAAAAGGATACGGTCATTAACCGATGTTTCAACAGCTCGCTTAGTCTACTTTAGCTACTTTCATAGCCTAATGTCATATGGAATCATGCTATGGGGCAAAGCTGCAGATTTTGAAACAATATTTATTTTGCAAAAACGTGCGATAAGATACTTGTATAAAATGAAAGCAAGAGCATCCCTTAGAGAATTGTTTAAAGAAATTGGCATTCTCACGGCCGCTTCACAATACATCTTAAACTGTATTCTATTTATTCAAAAAAATATTACTGAATTCAAAAAGAAAAGTGATATTCACCAAATTAACACTAGAAATAAAAATAAATTGGCTATACCCGCTTTTAGACTTAATAAAGTGTTTGCCACTTTTATGGGACAAGGTATCCATTTTTATAACAAAGTCCCTGATAAATATAAAGAGCTACCGTATAATAAATTTAAAGATATAGTTAAAGATCACATGCTTAAAAAAGCCTATTATACAACTCGAGATTTTCTTAATGATAAGTCATCCTGGGAGTAGGATTATGGTCCTCTCATGCTCGCACTAAAAAGAATTAAAATGAAAAGTAATGTATAAACTAATAATAATTTCTCAAATGTTATAGTGTCATGCTTCTCAATCTGGACTGTTACTTAGCTTTATTATTAGTTTTTTTTTAAAGAGATAACTTGGAATTGTCATTCTCACTAAAATGTCTCTGGGGTGGTGGCGTAGTGAGGCGGGTCGTTACATTCCCTCTAATATGGTCGAGTGAAGCGATGGCTGGTTCACTCGTCATGTCTGTGAACAGGCGCTGCTTTCGGGGACTGGTCAATCCAAGTTATTCAAATTTATGTATGCGAGTCATTTCTACTAGTATCTTAATATGTAAGTCTAGAAATTAGCACGTCACTACCTTGTTTAATATACCACGCAATCTTGTATACCCATTCTTATAAGATACACCATACAAGAATGCATGGTAAATTCAGTGAACTGCTCCTGAATCGAATGTACCTACTACTACTATTTCTATTTATTTATATTAACCGCCAGACAGTGGTGACTGAGTTTGTTGCGGCGCTTCTTCTCAGCACTTGCCAAATGTTGGTCTCGAAGCGCTGGTAGGGTAAAAAGATTATGAGACATGTAGAGGCTCCTTAAGAGCAAAATGACGATTTGTAAGAACTATTTATTAGTCCAAACAAATAAAGAAATTTTGACTTTGACTTTGACTTTGAATCCTCAACCACAGAGGAACTGGTTACCATCTAATGGATCTGAAATAAATGCGAACATCAGGTCTTCCCAGCCCGTCTAGCTAAGTGTGACTTAGGCCTAATTGTGTATTTGCTTCTATTTATTTTTCCAGCGAAATGACGTATATTTCTGGATAAACCCAAACCAAGGATTTCCACAACGACTATTCCTGCGCCGTCCGCATCCAAGTGCTTCCTGCTACCGTCACTAGTCTTCTTTGGTCCACTGAGTGGAAGGCCTGCCTACATTACGTCTGTGGTCGCCATTTGAGACATTTTTGCCCCAACGGCCATTAGGTTCTACAAGCTATGTGCCTCGCCCACTGTCACTTAAGTTTGACAATTATGTGGGTAGAAACCCACTGAGCGCAAGTAAAATGAGTTTTGTTATTGCAGTAGGCATTAAATGAGCTGATAATCTCACACAGGTATACTCCGCAACCTCCAGCCGAAGGAAGTAAGTGGCGGCGGTGGCCTCAGCGCAGAAGAAATGACAGAACGGGCGGCTAAAGAAATCTTGGAGATCATGCCCCCTATGCTGGACCAGAAGTACATTGCTACCACGTGAGTGTCCTATCCTAGGTAGGGAAACATCAAACAGAGAACGGGCAGCAGCGCTCTCTGAAAAACATCAATCTTTAAAACTGCGATCTCCAACCCGCCTGCCAAGTGTGGGGATTATGGCAAAACTCTCCACTATAGTGGAGGAGGCGCATAGTCCAGCAGTGGACTGTAAAGGGCTGTTGATGATGATGATGATGATGATGATGAGTGTCCTATAATATCCTGCAGGAATACTATACAGACACACATAATATCCTAGCCGTGTGGTTTCTGCAGAGTGCCAGAGTAGAACAGTATTATCCCCACTCTTCCTGTAGATGTTGTAAAAGGTGACTAAGGAAGAAATATATGAACATCAAGCCTCCACAAACCCCAAGCCGTCTAGCTAAGTCAGAAGTGTAGGCTAGAGAGTTGTGCTCAGGGCAGTGGAAACTAAAATGATTTGATAATGTGAGGATTCTATTAAAGACTGTATAGCATGACCAGGAACATAAAAACCCTCGCCATGTTGCGGAAAACTAATGGTACTAATTTCTTTTAATGGCAACAGTAACTGAAAACTTCATTGACATGTCACCTTGCATGTCAGTCTATTGCTGTCAAAGTGTAAACAAACTTTATTTTAAATGTGCGCAATTGATTTTGTGAATTAAATTGCTAAAATCTTTTTATAGTCGTGAAAGAAAAGTGGTTCACAATGTGTTAATGCGCATAGTCGTTTCAAGTCACTTCAAAAATCCATTGGTGTCAGGTCCGAGGATCGTGGTGGCCAAGCTACTGGACCCCTCGTCCAATCCACTGTTCACCAAACGTATTATTCGCGCACTTGACGTCCTTATTGTGAGGGAGCACCATCCTGCTGGTAGTAGAGCATTTGGTGTAATGCTAAGGGTACGTCATCAAGCATTTCGTCTAAGACGTCTTGCAGACACTCCAAGCACCATTTTGATTAAATTATTCGTTGTTTGAATACACTTCACTCATTTTTGTATTATTTATAACGTGATTTGTGTTTGATGGATTTTTCAGTTTTTTACAAGTGTCAAAAAGACATTTTAAAGACAATAGATTGCAATAGATATTTAAAAATACAATAAAAAGTAAAAAAGTCTCCATCGCAATCGCCAACAAGTGATGTGCATGCGTTACGATAATTAGTGGTGTGTTTAACAGATTGTCGATAAAATAAAATTCTCAAGATTAAAAAAAAAATTTTTTGGGCATTATTTTTTTACGGATTTGTGTTCAGTATCAGTAATATAGTAACCTCTGTAAATATGGCAAGAATGCAAAGTAACACCCTGTATTTTGTCAACATTTGCTAAGACTACTTATGTCTTCGTAGGGACTTGCTGAAGGCCCTCAAGGGTCTGGTGGTGATGTCAGAAGCGCTGGAGAGCATGTCCGGCAGCCTGGCGCGGAATGCCGTGCCGTTGATGTGGAGCTCCAAGGCTTACCCATCGCTCAAGCCGCTAGGTCAGTCAAAACAGTCGCTGCTACTTGTAGGGAAGAAAGTGGCCACATCAATCTGAACTTTATGCCGTGAAGATACGGTTGAAGTCTACAGTTTTTTTTCCTGAGTCTAGTCAAGGAAAAGGTATTTCACTACCCTCGGCTGATGTTGCTTCCGGCCGTGTACTCTGGTAATCATTCGGGGCGACTTGTGTTCTGCAGTGGACGTCCCTTGGCTGAAGTGGAATGATCCTTGATTAACCAACTGGCATATTCCCAGCGTAACTGTCTCTCCAACTCGTCTGGCTAGCTTAAGCCAAGCTCAAGCCAAATCTTTCATTTGCATCTGGTACATTAGAGAGTCCTCCTGCAGTGATCACTAAATGACTTGATGATGATGACGACTGGTAAATTAGAGAGGGTCGTTTTCAGTGAAGACTGGAGACTGAATGATCTAATTATGATGATGGTAATGATGATGATGTATTTCCAGCGGTATGGGTAAAAAACCTGTGTCTCCGGGTCTAGTTTATGCAGGGCTGGACCCCTCCTACAGTGGAGACTGCAGACTGATGCCCGTATTCACAAACGATGTTTGCTTAAGTGAGGCAGCAAATCGAACGCACAGCGGTGAATAGAGCTCTGTGATTGGTTCGTGTGTCACCCTGTACGTCCTACTCACACTGTGAGATCTCATATAGTCTATCCAATATAGCTTGATTAGAATGACAGCTGTCATCAAAAGTAACGACATAACTTTGTAGTAGCGATCAATGAGAGCTAAATATTGGCGGACAAGAAATAATTCACGTCTGACCTACAAACAATATTTTCGACGACAATGCTTCCAATAAAAATGATAATTTCGTGTAAATGCAGCGTTAAATTACACCAATAAGTAGTAATTCGAAATTATAAAAATCAAGCTAGAGTATTAACGACGTCTCTACAAGGTTATCTCGAGTTACAAAAATGTTAGTGTTGGGACATATCGACAAATGTCATATTAAATTAAAACCATGGGGTCCAAGCGCGCGCTCGTTCCTTTTATAAGGAACTGGCAAAGAGGCTCACCGAGGTGACCGGTGATCAAAAGGCTGGCAGCTATTTCGGCCAGAGAATTAGCCTGGCCATTCAACGTGGCAATGCTGCCAGCCTTTTGGGCACCATTCCTGACTACGGCGCTGGGGGTGAAGTATTTTTTATTTTGTAAATAGTTTTTATCATTAGTAATTTTAAAATTTTAGTTTTTAAGTCATTTTAAATTAAAACTGTTTTTTTANAAAAAAAAAAAAAAAAACCCTAACAATCTAAGGGTCAACAAATCACTTTGAAAGATACACCATAAGTAGCAGGGCCGGCCATATCTATCTGAGAAGAACCGATGAAAATTAGAGGTCGGAACAGAGCTTAGGACACCATGCTCTGCACCTGCTTAGTAAAAAAAAGGCTAGAGATCTTGCTCTGTGTCTTCATAGGGGCAATATTTTACTTGTAAATATGTACTAATTCAATTAGTCAAAACAAATACAGAAAATTTCATTGATAGATGTAGGGCTCCATTGGAGAGGTATCTAGCTGTGGGTGAACTACTAGACTGAAAAGATAATAATATAATACGGATCCGACATGAGTGATTATGTGCCATATAATGAAAACATAATTTCTTTTGTCGCTCATATTATTGTTAAAGGAATTCGTCGCACTAGGCGCTCTTTGTTTTTCAAAAGGACTACTAATGAGTGCTGGCCTTAGAGTGACCATGCTATTAGGAAACTTGAGTTTCTTAAAGTCCGAGAGTCTTAAATCATTAATCTTATAAGTATAAAATATTTGATTCTAAGCAGTTATAGGTATCTTCTTTAAAGCCCTGTAAATTGAATTGGTTACCTACCAAATCACTTATCACTACATAGTATAAGACAAAGATTCTCTCCATCTGTCTGTCCCTATGTATTCTTAAATCTTAAACTACGCAACGGTTTTATATTTAATTTAATTTTTAATTTAATTTAAAGACTTTATTGCACACACAACAATGTTCTGTACAAAAAGGCGAGCTTAATGCCATACGTCATTCTCTACCAGCTGACCTTGAGCAAAACAGAGATATTTAGTAGGCGGTGCTAAAAAGCTACAAAAATGTACACAATATAATACATTAAATATTATAATATACCTATATTTATACAAAATATATACATAAATACATACATATAATTTATATAAAATGGATGACGAGAGGTAAGGGAGGATAGGAGAGGATAAGGGAGAAAAGGAAAGAATAAGGGAGATCAAGACGACATGATGCGTTCAAGAAAATGTTTGCGCACAGAGTGTTTGAAAACAAACTTACTAGGAGCCTGCCTGATGTTCTCGGGAAGAGCGTTCCAAAGGCGAATGGAATTGAGGAGAAATGAATTAGAGAGGAAACCAGTGCGGTGGGAAGGAGTGGAGAGAAGGAGCGTGTTGGACGAACGAAGTTGACGTGCGTGCGTCGAACTCAGAAGTTTAAACTGTGTTTTCAAATAGGAAGGGGAGTTAGGGTCATTTAAGATGGTAAAAAGGGTGGTAAGGATTCTAACATTGCGCCGTGCAGGGACAGGTAGCCAATGGAGCTCAGACCGGTGGGAAGAGACATGGTCATATTTGCGAAGACAAAATATGAACCGGATGCAATTGTTCAGAAGGCGGTCCAGTTCTGGCAGCTATTTCGGCCAGAGAATTAGCCTGGCCATTCAACGTGGCAATGCTGCCAGCCTTTTGGGCACCATTCCTGACTACGGCGCTGGGGGTGAAGTATTTTTTATTTTGTAAATAGTTTTTATCATTAGTAATTTTAAAATTTTAGTTTTTAAGTCATTTTAAATTAAAACTGTTTTTTTAACATATTTAACAATTTTTTTTTCTTACAAATTTTTTAATATATTTAAGTCAAGTTATACGTTTTTCTAAATGTTCACTATTAAAAACCAAAAAACATTTCATTCTTAAATAATCAAACATCGGAAATCAATCACCGGTAATTTTTTGGGTATTCATAGCACCGTTGCTCTAGAAGAGATGCCCACCGCCCTCTAGCGAGAGGAAAAAACCCACTGAAGAACACTGATGATAATGACTTCGACTTAGGTTGTACACCCTTGACATGAATTTTAAATTTTACTGTCTTTAAATTTAAATCATAATTGTCATTTTCTACACTAATATTATAAAGAGGAAAACTTTGTTTGTTTGTTTGGTTGTAATGAATAGGCTCAAAAACTACTAGACCGTTTTAAAAACATTCTTTCACTATTCGAAAGCTAGGTACATTATCCACGAGTAACATAGGCTACATTTTATTTTGGAAAAAAATATGGAGTCCACGCGGGCGGAGCCGCGGGCGGAAAGCTAGTTATGAATAAAGATATATGAAGAAAAATTGGGTGCATTTTTTCATATATTTTTTTCGAAAACTTATCGATACATCTATGTGAACCGTACGAAACATACCCATCACTAGTCACATTCGTTTGACAGCCGTCATTCTAATCAAGCTATATTGGATAGACTATAGTAATGTTTGTGAATACGGGCGTTAATATAATTTTTTCACGCAGTCGTTAACAAGCATACCTAAAGTAAACTCATGGTAAGCAAAGCACGCTGATCATGGAGATGGTAATGATGATGATGTATTTCCAGCGGCATGGGTGAAGGACTTATGCCTACGAGTCCAGTTCATGCAAGGCTGGGCGGACGCGGGCATCCCAAAGGTGTTTTGGATATCAGGCTTCTACTTCCCGCAGGCGTTCCTCACGGGAGCACTCCAGAACTACGCCAGGAAGCATGTTATTGCTATTGATACCATCTCGTACGCTTTTGAGGTTAGTGTGAAAACCAACCTATATTTATTTATTTAACTAGCGGCCGCCCGCTAATTCGTACGCGTGTATCCCATTTTTCCCCCTTAGGGGTTTAATTTTGCAAAATCCCGTCTTAGTGAGCACCTACGTTCTAAAAGGAACCCCCATGCAAATTTTGAGACTCCTAGCGCTTGTAGTTTCAGAGTTCGTGATGGATGAGCGAGTGAGTCGGTGACCTTTCGCTTTTATAGATATAGATGATTCATCGTCGACGTCTTAGTTTGAAATGAATGTACGAGATATAATGTATCGAAAAACGCAGCGTGATCCGTCCACCCACAAGGTGGACCGACGACCTCATAAAGGTAGCAGGAAGGCGCTGGATGCAGGCCGCTACCAACCAGGCAATATGGAAATTATTAGGGGATGTCTATGTTTAACAGGACATCCTGTGGCTGAAATGATGGATATGATAAATGTACGAATGTTCAGTCAGACACTAGCTAGTGTCTGACTGAACATTCGTACATTTATTTTCGTACACATAAGTTGTAGCGGTGGGAACGAGAGGTGGCAATAGTCCCGTTGTCAGAATCAGAATCATAATTAATTTGCTTTAAATGTGGTACAGAAGATGGATACAGATGTCCAGTAGTATAGTTGTAACTGTTGATAGGCGCTTCCGGGGGCTCCAGCCAAGAGGCCAGATGACGGGTGCTGCGTGCGTGGACTGTACCTCGAAGGCGCGCGTTGGAACATGGGTGACATGTCGCTGGAAGAAAGCCGTCCTAAGGAACTGCACACAGGTATGTAGGGTTTTATGGCCAAAGTTAAATCTTTGAATAATTACAACAGCATTTTTATTAACAGCTCTTATAGGGTCTTAACTTGATCTTGGACGTACAAAGCGTATGAAAACCCTTCACTTGCTATGTATTTTTACTTTTTTTCGATACGCGAGTTAAAGCTTAGGTTCTAAGAGAGAAATATGTGAATATCGGGTCTCCCCAATCCGCCTAGCCAGTGTGGAGCTGTATGCTTCTAGTAAATGAAAGTGGGTTGTTTTCCTACAGTGTAGACATAATGATAATGAGCTAATGATGATGATATGATACGCTTCCGTTTGTTGAATCGCAAATATCTCACAGCACAGAGTGCTAAATATTCAATTTGAATTTTGTTGATGTTTCTTTTGACAGCTCCCAGTAAAGTTAGTTAATCAATCAATTATAAATTAGAGGATGTTAATCGTTAGTGAACCTATTCGATTATCGATTTTAGTCTAATAGAAGATTACGATTCAAAACAAAATTTTGTTCTACGCACATTTCGCTCATACTATAAAATTTCACACAGAAATGGCGATCATCTACATGAAACCGGAGCAGAACCACAAGCTTCAATCAGGACTGTACGAGTGTCCCACTTACAAGACTTTACTGCGAGCCGGGACACTGTCTACTACGGGACACTCGACCAACTACGTCATGACCATAGAGCTGACTACCCACAAACCGCAGTCGCATTGGATCAAGCGTGGAGTGGCGCTGTTCTGTGCTTTGGACTATTAAGAAAACCAAAGTAGACCAGCTCTAATCGGGACTGTACGAGTGTCCCACTTACAACACTTTTCACTACGGGACACTCGACCAACTACGTCATGACCATAGAGCTGACTACCCACAAACCCCAGTCGCTTTGGATCAAGCGTGGTGTGGCGCTGTTCTGTGCTTTGGACTATTAAGAAAACCAAAGTAGACCAGCTCTAATCGGGACTGCACGAGTGTCCCACTTACAACACTGTTCACAACAGGACACTCGACCAACTACGTCATGGCCATAGCTGACTACCCACAAACCGCAGTCGCATTGGATCAAGCGTGGTGTGGCGCTGTTCTGTGCTTTGGACTATTAAGGAAACCAAGCAGACAAGCTCTAATCGCGACTGTACGAGTGTCCCACTTACAACACTGTTCACTACGGGACACTCGACCAACTACGTCATGACTATAGAGCTGACTACACACAAACCGCAGTCGCATTGGATCAAGCGTGGTGTGGCGCTGTTCTGTGCTTTGGACTATTAAGAAAACCAAGCAGACAAGCTCTAATCGGGACTGTACGAGTGTCCCACTTACAACACTGTTCACTAAGGGACACTCGACCAACTACGTCATGACCATAGAGCTGACTACAAATAAACCTCAGTCGCTTTGGATCAAGCGTGGTGTGGCGCTGTTCTGTGCTTTGGACTATTAAGGAAACCAAGCAGACCAGCTCTAATCGGGACCGTACGAGTGTCCCACTTACAACACTGTTCACTACGGGACACTCGACCAACTACGTCATGACTATAGAGCTGACTACCCACAAACCGCAGTCGCATTGGATCAAGCGTGGTGTGGCGCTGTTCTGTGCTTTGGACTATTGAGTGCTGTCTTCAAAAGTAGTGAGTTTATGCATTGTATTTACTATTTGAACTACTTTATTAAATATTGTATTTACATTATTATGTTTTCATTATTCAATATAGTAATCATATTCGAAATAATTATTTGTTTTTGCACTTGAATATCTAAATCAAGTTAGTTTGGACGGCGTAAGACACTTCCAAACTTTGTTTGGGACGTTCTGTAACTCAGTGCTTAGATCCAGCTTTCGCCTAGCACACGAAAGTTAGTGGCTTCAAGTCCCTTTAAAACTAGCTGAGGCAGTCGATTATTTTACATTCTGGTAAACTGATATTTCGATAATTACTTATTAAATGGAACTTAATTGATTGGTCGTGTATATTGTGAAAACTTTAATGACTGTTTGCTTTGTTTGATTGGGGTTTAGTAATGTTTAATGTACCTAAGGTATTATCATGAGATTCAGTACAATTTTTGTTTTGTGCTGAATAACATTTATAAGCACTGCATAAGTGATAGTGTAGAAACTACACTTGAAAACTTAACTCAAATGCAGCTATTTAAACTCAAGAGTCAGCTCAATTTAGTTTATAGTTTGAGTTGTAGTTTGAATGTACTTTCTGAACAGATTACGTTGCAAAATGTTATTTATTTATTTAAAGACTTTATTGCACACACAACAATGTTCTGTACAAAAAGGCGAGCTTAATGCCATACGTCATTCTCTACCAGCTGACCTTGAGCAAAACAGAGATATTTAGTAGGCGGTGCTAAAAAGCTACAAAAATGTACACAATATAATACATAAAATATTATAATATATATTTATACAAAATATATACATAAATACATACATATAATTTATATAAAATGGATGACGAGAGGTAAGGGAGGATAGGAGAGGATAAGGGAGAAAAGGAAAGAATAAGGGAGATCAAGACGACATGATGCGTTCAAGAAAATGTTTGCGCACAGAGTGTTTGAAAACAAACTTACTAGGAGCCTGCCTGATGTTCTCGGGAAGAGCGTTCCAAAGGCGAATGGAATTGAGGAGAAATGAATTAGAGAGGAAACCAGTGCGGTGGGAAGGAGTGGAGAGAAGGAGCGTGTTGGACGAACGAAGTTGACGTGCGTGCGTCGAACTCAGAAGTTTAAACTGTGTTTTCAAATAGGAAGGGGAGTTAGGGTCATTTAAGATGGTAAAAAGGGTGGTAAGGATTCTAACATTGCGCCGTGCAGGGACAGGTAGCCAATGGAGCTCAGACCGGTGGGAAGAGACATGGTCATATTTGCGAAGACAAAATATGAACCGGATGCAATTGTTCAGAAGGCGGTCCAGTTTGTTGAGGAGAACTTGATTAAGGTCCGGATAACACACATCAGCATAATCGATGACCGGAAGAATAAGAGCGTGGACAAGCGAAATTGACCTCATCACCAGACACCGCAGAAAACATGAAGACTTCCGGTACTAGAAGAGGTGTGGAAGTTACCTCAGTGATAGTATGTGATCTGATGAGCGGATCTAAGGTGGAAGCGGAGGAAAAGTGAGTGTTTAGCTCATCAGCACTGAACGAGGAGTGAGAAAGCTTCGTAGGGCATTTTCCAATACCCAACGTTTTAAGGAACTTCCACACATCAGCAGACGCGGCATTGACAATGTTGTCATGGATATAGTGGCGTTTGGCCGATCTCACCATCCGATTGCAAAGATTTCTTGCGGCCTTGTATTTACTCCAATTGTAGTCGCAGCGGTCTCGTTTAAAGTTGCGGAAAGCCCTATCACGACGAGTCATCGCCACACGCACCCCCCTCGAGATCCAAGGGGCAGGAAGACGTTTCAGTTTTACAGGCCGCAGCGGTGCATGCACATCATATAGAGACAGCAGATTGGAGTTAAATAGGGCTACCTTATCGTCTATAGTCGACGCAGACACAACAGGCTCCCAGTCAAGCGATGCTGCATCGCGCTTAATGGCATCTGNGAGTATTGAAGCATAGCCCGGAGAATTGCAAAATTCAGCATCAGTGGACGGGGCACATCCTCGTAGAAATGGAGGCGTAGTGAATTTACGTCAAACGCATTCGATATCGAATGCGTAAAAAAGTGACATTAAATGTATCACGGATTGTACAGCGCCCCTAGCGGACATTTTCAAGAACTAAAATCTTCATTATATTTTTTTAACTGATGGCCGTTGGGGAAGCTTCGTTTAGTTTGCCATTAGATGGCACAGTATAAAATTTTCAAGGGTACAATTACTTCTGTTTAAACAAACTAGCAAAATAAGATATTTTTTCGTTCGTTTCAGCCAAATGACGTCCACTGCTGGACAAAGGCCTCCCCCAAGGTTTTCCATAAGATGTTTTTTACCTGTTCGATATCATTGGTGTCTCCCTCTTTGATCAAATCCGCCTCCATTTGCTCTTCAGTAATTTCTTCCGAGTCCTGAGTCTCCTGATAAAGAAAGAAAATAAAAGTGTTAAAAATTCAAGCTGTGAAATCACCAAATTATTCTAACAATCGTTTGTAATACTTTTGTTATACTTGTCCAAAATAAGATGATTATTTTGACAGTCCAAGTCACTAACAGCATGGAACGTCCACCTACAAGGTGGACCGACGACCTCATAAAGGTGGCAGGAAGGCGCTAGATGCAGGCTGCTACCAATCGGGCGAAATGGAAATCATTAGGGGAGGCCTATGTTCAGCAGTGGACATCCTGTGGCTGAAATGAAGTAACAGACTCTTACGGTTAATGTACCATTTTCACCAGACCATTTTCCTTCATATTACAATAGAGATGATGACTGGGTAATGAAATCGAAATTCTATGTAGTCCGTCAGACCGATAATAAAAAAAATTTGGATAAATATTTTTTATTTTTTTTCATAATCGAATAATTACAGTATTATCACAGAATAATAATAAGTACTACACTACGCACAGAAGTTTTATTTCGCGAAGGTATTTAAAAAAAATGTATGCTCAATGTCATTAACAATATGGTGTAATTTAGCTTGTCTCAAGAGTCAAGCACCATTTTGTTGACAAACGTCAGTGATCGGCACTGCGCCGAAGCTATAGGGCTGACTTCGGTAAAATGATGTGACGTGAGGTGCCAAACTGCGGAAAATGGCGGAGGAAATACATGATTTAGCATGAATTATCATGAATAATANTTACGCATTAACACCGTGGCCGGTTTTTGCTTGGTTGTGTGGAGCCTGTAGGTCACGTAAACTAAATCATGGCGGGAGAAACCAGGTGCAGCAATTTGGCCATGTGCAATAACACCCTCAGGCGAAGAAGTGAGGATAAGGTCCAACCAAGTATCTGGGGAATCAATGTTGTGATGAGTGGGCTGTAGAGGAAGNGTTGGAATGTTCAAGATTTCCCACAAAAATGTAATATTGGTAATTTCTATTCGATTCGAGTTGATTCGTGCCGTGATTACGTAATTATTGTTTACGTTCTAGCAAGGAAATGGAATAAATTATGTTAAATTTTAAAAATACGGAATTTTTTCTTGTACAAACTGATGGTGACTCATTCAATAAAATGATTTTTTCATGTTATGGTTCGCTGAAGTAAATTTTTCAACGTTATACAATTCAAATGTAAAATATTATTTCCATTGTAAAATTAGTAAAACAATCGAAGTTTACCGTTCATTGGGCAACTATGTGAGTCAATACGCTGTTTTATAAAACGCCTGTCTACTAAAACGCCTGCTAACAACACTTTCACAAGCTTTTCATTACAATCTCTGCTTAGACGCGGCTTACAACTGCCAAGAAAAGTATTTTAACCCTGTTGCATTTTCATTACCAACTTTTAGACTTAATATTTTCACGTCGCCGTCGGCCGCAAAAAGGAAAAGTCTGAACAACAGCTTCATTTCAGGTCGGGGTTATTTTTAACCTACTTTTTGTATGATTTGGAAGAACCCGTTGTCATAATACAAAGATGTTTTAAAGTAAGGATTGAGACGTCTCGATACGCATCAATACAAATGGTTTAATATCTCAATGCATGTGTATATCCTAGTAACGCCCAGATACCTTTCAAAAGGTATAAAGCTTTGTAGTGGTTCGGGCCCAAGGCGTTATGCAGTTTCATCAACTTAAAGCCCGACCACCTTTTAAAAGGTATCCAATATCAAAGTGTGATAACTATAGGTACAATAAATGATCCTAAATAATGCATCTGGGCTGCTATCCCATCTTGAGGCAAAATAGCATGGGCGTTACGAGTATATTATATTATATTAATATATATTATTATACAATACATAAATCCCCACACGATAGCAATTACACTATACACTTCTTCTCGGCACTGGCCCATTTATTGTCCTGAAGCAGTGGTAGGGTTAATACTGGGACGTGTAAAAGTGCTTTTTTAAGCCTATTTACAGAAATAAATGAGTTTTATGAGTTTTTTATAGGCCTAGCGCTTAACTCAGTCAGCGCCTAAGGTATAGTTCCAAAATACTGAACTGTCCTGTCCATGACATTGACAGCGGGGCGCCACCGTCAATACCGGATCGCTGTGTCCGATTTTTGCCATGTTGGAAACCATATAGTTGAACGATGGTAGCGCCCCCCTGTCATTGAGTTTGGTGGGACAGTTCAGCGTGGGTCATCTATATGGGAGTGGCATGGGAGGGGTGACATTGACATATTGTGACGTGACAAAGCATATACTTCTGAAGAAAATCTGAAGTCTCGCTGACGTTTGACGTTACAAAAACACCCACCCGTGCCGCTTCCATAACTAAAAAACTGTCTGAGATAAGCGCTACACAGGAGCAGGTGAACATCAAACTAAACTACGGAATCGCAGTTTTATTAGATGCTATTACAACAAAAATATGTACTCTAAACGTGCTTGTGAGCATATTAGAGAACATATTTTATTGATTGTGCTGTATAAAAATATGTAACAGCGGGCTTAGTACTAATCCCTTGTACTATCGGCAACAGTGTTAACTGCCCATTGCCTGTCATGTCTCAATACTCAATACTCAATAAGTTTATTGCTTCCTTAATAGTACATTTAGGTGTTACATAGTTATATTTGGAGATCATTAA